GACAAAAATGTCACCCTATGTCACCAAAGAGTGACAATAATGTCACCCTTTTCTCCGAACCAGGCTTTGTTCATGCCTCCTTCCAACCTCAGCCTGGCTACACTGCCAGGACACTGACACACTTTCCCTTTAGCACTCCCTTCACACTGCTTTCTTTGCCATTCTGATGACCTTCCATGTCCTTCTTTGGTGGTTTCATGCTTGATTCTTCTTCCATCCTAGTGAAACGCTGAAATGTCACAATCCCACCTCCTCTTCTGGGTGACAAGTGCAATATTTGGCATATTGATGTCCAAAGGATGATCATTAATAATTAAGAAACTTAACTGACCTCAAATTTGCAAATAATTAAAGAGCCACTGGACTTGCTGCACCCCACACCTGTACACCATGTACTGTAATGGGTACATGTAGCACTAACTACATGTACCCATTACAGTAAGTATGTATATCGAGAGCTGGGAGAGAAGGCCAGGCTCCTGCACTGAACCCATCACCTGGCTCCAGGCCAGATTGAAGGAGGCTGAGCTCATCAGCTTCTGCTGATGACTTCTTCTTCAACTAGTTACCTCTCTTGATTTTTATTATCATCTCTGCAAATTAGAGGGAAGGTGACTTGGCCAAGAAATCCTATGACAAAAGATTCTGCAGAGATGTCATTCTATTTTGGTAAATATGATAGTCTCTGTAGAGTTCACCAGTAAGGCAGCTAACATATAAATGATAAAGATTCCAAAGTGTTTGCTCGTATCTCCTGAGTAAGCATTACATACAACCTAAGGAATGAGAGGTTTTGGTCTCCCTTTCCTAGTAATACCCCTATCATAGGCAAAAAATAAACGAATACATACATAATAAAAACCCAAGGGTGGGAAGGGTGTTGTCTTATCTTGTTTATATTTACTAAACAAAGCTTGGAAGACACTTTTCTAAAAATCTGTTTTGAGGGCTCAGAATTTAAACTCTTCCTCTGCAGTCTTTGCAAATCCAATAGCCTTTCTGATGCCAAATGAAAAGCTTCCTGTGCATCCTCTAGAAATGCCATTTCTTGTGACAACTCTTCAGAGCTATATGCGTGACTTCCAGCATTGGGGTCTGTCAGAGGACCCACTGGATCCCTCAGGACTGTCTGCAGAGTTTCAGGAGCACAGCAAAGATATTCTTGGTCACTGTTGGAAGAAATGGCAGCAGGGCTAGTGATCATGCTATTGTTTGAACTGCCTCAAATGCTTCATAGATGGATGTGGAATGAGGGTGCAAACATGCACTCAGCCATGCATCTACTCTACACTTTTGTAGGCTTGTCCTCTGGTGGTCAAGAGAGGCTGTTCTTCCAAGGCGTCAGGAAGAGAGGGTATGTGCAAGAAAACAAACTCGAGGGGAAACGGTTCATGTTTGCTGTTCGTTCTCTTGTTACAAGTTCTAGAAGGAAGATCAACACTTTCAATTGTCTGATAAAATGAGGAACAAGTCTAGAACCCTCTTGTATCTCACTCTGATTTCTCCAGCTCTTCATTCTGTCACTCAGAGCCTTCTAGTTCAAGATCCTGCATTTCCAAGAGCGGGGTCATGAACCAGGAAGGAATCTCCTCACTTAGGTTCAGATACAGGATTAAATCAATCCACCAAATTAAAAGGGTGGTGGCAGGTTCACATGTTCTGAGGGAAACGTGTCATTTGGAACCTGAAATCTTCCCTTCAGCATAGAGGGGGTGATTTCCCACCTTTCCAGCTACAACACTCTCTTCTGCTTCCTTTCACTTCATTACACCATCTATGAGACAGATAGGAATTATTATTTTTATTAATAAAGTGAATTAAAATAGATTGGTTTGGACGTTTGAGAAATTCTTGAAGTCACAGGGTTCTACTGGGGTAACGTGAACCAGAGCTGGAAGTCCATGAAGCATAGACTTTGAAGTCAGATAGACGAGGTTTTCTAGCTGCAGGGCCTTGGGCAAGGCATTCAGACTCTCTGAGATTCAGTTTTCTCATCTAAAAAGTGGGGACAACACTATATTGGGATGTTAGTTACAACAAACATGATACATGTAAGTTACTTGGCACATAGGCATTCGAGAAATGGTAGGCTTAAACTAATATATCAATATTAGAGGTATAGGTGCCATAGCACATGAAAAGAAACCTAATCAATAAAGTTTATGCCTGAGGCATTTTCTTTAGTTTAGATCACCAAAGGACTAGAATTAACACGTGCAGGAGGATAGAGCTAAGCATAACAGACAGGTGAAAAAAAAGGTAGAGAACAAGTCAACAGAAAGCAACATTCCAAACGAAATTACACCCTTGGCAGCCAAAGACAAGGGTTGGGTTTTCAGCGTTAGTCACTGCTGAGGATTAATGAGCTGGAGAACACATGACTGAGATGCCCTCTTAGGCAAGAATTATTCTAGCAGGGTCCTGAGTTGCAGCAGGAGAAATGCCATTTCCCTTCAGTCTGGACAGCCCTGCTCACTCCAGGGAAGCCGATGAACCAAAACGCCATTTCTCCTGACTCTGGGCTGTGAGCTGTGGGGAAAGCCTAGAAACAGAAGGTGGAGAATTTTTATGATCCCAATGCTTGGTCAAAATGCAATGGTGCAACATTTAGGGTCAAAGTGGGCTAACTATAACACCAGGCTTTCTGGAATCTTTTTAAAATAATGATGAATGCAACTGACAAGAACAAAATAATACATCATTGCCACAATACATGCCAAACACAGAAATCTGTCCAATTCAGAGGCAAGAAATACAGCACAGTTTTAGTTGGAAGCCAGAATAAAATGTATACATTTTCTAAACTACATACTGAACTAAACTTATTTTCCTAAGCCTTAAAGCAATTTGAACTGGTTTTAAGTATAAAAATACGTAAAGATGTTTTTGATGCAGGGTGTGTAATTTTATATATATATATAATTTTATATATATATATAATTTTATATATATATATATAAACTGAATTGGGTACTCACTGGAATATCAAAATATGCTTAGAATCAAAACAAACAGCAGCTTGAGAACTCAATTCTAAATTGATTAAAAGCAAAAGGAGGCTGGATTCGGTGGCTCATGCCTGTAATCCCAGCACTTTGGGAGGCTGAGGCAGGCAGATCACTTGAGGTCAGGAGTTGGAGTTCAAGACCAGCCTGGCCAATGTGGTGAAACCCTGTCTCTATTAAAAATACAAAAAATTAGCCTGCCATGGTGGCATACGCCTGTAGTCCCAGCTACTCAGGAGGCTAAGGCAGGAGAATTGCTTGAATCCAGGAGGCAGAGGTTTCAGAGAATCAACATCATGCCACTGCACTCCAGCCTGGGTGACAGACTGAGACCCCATCTCAAAAAAATAAATAAATAAAAATTAAATTAAATTAAAAAATAAAATAAAAACAAAAGGAAATAAACTCATAATTAGTCATTGATTGATGATGATGATGATGATACTATACTTCCTGATACTTGATTCTCAGTGTAATGACATATGTCCTGCCAGGGTGGACTGGTCCTGGGTTTACCCCTGTGATGCATTCAATACCTTCCAACTGGAAAATCTGCTTTCTGACTGGTGTGGCTTTTCAGAAATGTGTTGGGCCCAAGATCACAGGAAGAATTAGGCCCCATATACAAAAACAGAAGACAGCTAACTAACTTTTTCAACTTAGTAATCATCAATTTTATTATTAGCATATTAACCAGGGATTATGCCAGTTTGGGGGGGTGTGTGTGTGTGTGTGTGTAATCAGTATGTAGACATTATTACATGGACAAATGTAATAATGTTTTAATAATGTAAATAATTAGCAACTCAAATTAACCTGTTTTGTCAGAACATATTGTTTAGATCCTGGGAACTCTTAGGGGAAAATAAAAATATGGATCCTCACCAGCTGAACCAGTACAAAGTGAGTTAGTTGTGTTGCTTAAAAATAGAGAAGGTAGGGGGAATAAAGATCACTTTTACGCTTCCAGAGTGACATGGAAATTGGGACTCAAGGACAGCCTCTAAATGGAAAAGGAAGGTTTGGGAAAGTGGGGAGGTGGGTGGACCTGCACCTGGAGCAGTCCTTTGGCAGATCTTCCTGGAGAAGGTGAAGATGCTGGCAGAGGGAAATAAAGGGTTTAATTCCCTGCAGCCAGGAGTTTGACAATGGCTCAGATTTTCAGAGATGTGACAAACCAAGAGGACTTGGCCACAAGGCCTCGGTTTTCTGTGGTTTCAAATTTACTCATCTGAGAAACATGGGACCTGCTAGCCATTGTCAAGAAACAAACCCAGCGATCCCCGAGAGAATGAGTTGCTGATTCAGAAGCCGAAGCAAGAAAGGACTGTGTGATTCCTGGCTCCTTCCCCTTCCACATTCTGGGCTCTGTTCTCAGCTCCCCTAAGTAAGTCTGGCTGCCTGTCCTGCTTGATCTGTCTGTAGTCTCAGCAGTTCTCAGTGAGGCTCCTCTAAGGGGCTGAATCAGAATTACGCAGGTCTGAGAAGAGTGAGTTCCCGCAGACAAAATACCTCCTGAGTTTCTGCTCAGCAGTGCAGTTTGAGGCGTGGCCTCTACACATACTGCATATGTAAAATGTCAGCCCACGTGGGAATGATTTCTTCGAGTTAGTCTGGCCCCACCTTGAAGAGTTTAATTTGGATTCCATTTGTCTTCCCCCTGTCCTACTTTCCCCTATGGCTGAGAGAGGATTTTCCATTTCATATTGCAGACATGTGAGGCATCTCAGTCCCGCTCCATTCGTCCACACATCTAGAAGAGCAATGCTCACATCTGGAGCCCATTCTCAGCTGGAAGACGTCTTTCGACATTCTTTTCTTTGAAACTCAATCCATGTAACCTCTCTTTCAAAAGGGCCTCTGAACTACTGGAATCATTTGCAGAGGCTCAGGAAAAAAGTCCTTAATTTCATCCCTACGTGGTGGAATTTATGACTCAAACCAAACCCAACATTCTGTTTCTGATTGCTTTTTTTCAACAATGACTCTTTGGAGCTATGTGTTTAAAAGGATAGAAGTTCTAGCCTAAGACACATACCAAAGGAAGGTGAAAGCAAGCTGTTCAGCAATCACCAGGGTGAGTCCATTGAAGCTCTGAAAGCTTCAACAAACTAGGTCATTTCTTCATCAATATAATTGGGATTCGTTGTTTAAAAATAGACACAGGAGCGTGTGAGGATAAGGGAAGTAACATATCTGGACATGCCTTGTCTCACACCTGTGTAGGATAAGGATAGATGGAGAAAGGGGAAGGGGTTTTTGTCAGGCTGAGACAGTTCTCTGCATTTGCTCACTCATCTCTCCGTAAACCCATGAAGGACCCCAAGATAGGATTCCATGATGCCCCACTGAGCAGGAGAAAGGAAGAAGTCTCAAGAACCTAAGACCAAATCTACAATATTTGATCAGCATGCATACAAATTACCCAGCCATTCTGAAAAACTGCAGCTTCTGGTTCGGTGGTCCGGGATGGGACCGAGGTCTACATTTCTAACAAGCTCCCAGAGGCTGTCCATGCTGCGAGTCCCCAGATCATGTTTGGTACTAGAGAAATGGACCCCAACTCAAAAAATTCAACCTCTGCTAAGAAGTGAATTTGTATTTTGCAGGGTCGACTCTAGTTCTGAAGCCCAGCCACTGGACAGAGAGGTGTGGAAGGAAATGAAATTCACATTCCTGAAATGAAGAAAGGCCAATTCATCTCCACCTTTACCCTCTTCTGCCGGAAGGCAGGAGCCACGCCCAGCCTCTTAGGTATGAAAGGAAAATTAACTGCCTTACTTTACCCCATCCCCTACCTTCAGGTATTTCCCTGGTTGCATCAGGTTTATACCTAGTGGAGGGAATGACACAGTTATGGATGGCTGCCTTTGACCTTCAGCAATTGCCCAACTCCCAGCCAAGCTGCTGGGAGAGGAAGACAAGCAGCCACTATTTCCATGGGGGCTCTGCCCGCCAGCTCCTCCTGCCCCTGCGCTGTGTTGCCTAGCAACCAGAGGGCGAGAGAAACAGAGGAATGGAAGTAGGTGAGGAGGTAAGGGAGAAATTATAATGACAGGAGACAGCAGCCGAGGGCTCCTAGTCACGCAGACACACGCCCAGCAGTGTGGAATGTTAGTGAGCCTCAGAGGGAGGGCACCAGTGGGTGTGAACCTCGAAAGCAAGAGGCCAGAAGTGCAAAAACATTCATTTTTTCCATTTTATTATTTCTAAAATATTAATAATAAAAAAGGAGAAAAAAATCCTACTTCTTAGATGAGTTGGCAGGGCAGGAGGAAAAAACTGGAAAACTACTTATAAAAACCAAGGGAATCATTAAAGGGTGTGGAGGGGGCTGGGGAGAGATTGGTAAAAATCCTGGGCTAAAAACTAAGACATGTCTTGAAATGTGGCCAAAAAATTGTTTGTAATAAGATTTTAAAAATCTGAAGTGAGACTTGGACCAGGCAGGAGGTTCTAGTGGCCCCTGAATGAGGAGGGGTGGGCAGTTCCCTGTGGCCCACCCACCACCACCCTACCGCCCCATCAGTGTCTTCCTGGGCAGAGGACACCCTAGTCCGCAGGAGGGTGAGGAAAGTGGTGGAAGAGTTTTCATTCAAGTTGCAATTATGGAACTTCAGTTTTCTACATAGGTTGAAAGCCTTAATTCGGACCCTGAAGAGTCCCTTAAGCTTGTAACCACCTCTGATCTGGCTTTCCCACTTCCTGTCATTCCCACACTCCAAATCCTACTGCATTTTGCCATAAGGATGATTCTTCTGAAACACACATGGAATCAACGTTACTCAAAACTTTTTTTCATAGCTCCCCATGGTCAACAGAGGAAATTCCAAACTTCTTAGCATGGCATTCAATGCTTTCCACAGCCTTGCCTCAGCCCACTTTTCCAGAGTCACCTCCAGCTGCTGCCCCCCTCCCCCGCCTGCCGCCCACCCACTGCTAAAACAACCACCCTAGAATCCAGCCACTAGATTACACCATTCCCCACCAGGCCATGAACTTTCAACTCTTCTCCCCCTTTGAACATTACTATCATTGCCCTTTCGGCTCATCTTCCAAACAAGCCCTATTTACCCTTTTAAAAGATACACAAATTTACAGTTTTTCAAAGTAATTCATGCACATAATTTAATTTTTTAAGGTGCAGGGGATTTAAAATGCAAAGCAACAGTCTTCCCTTCCTCTTCCCTCTCCGCTTTCCCTTGTCCACTCCCTCTACCTAATCACCTTGCATTCCCTTTGAGTTTTCTCTCCTGGTGATTACTTTTATTTCTCTAAAAACTATTTCTTGACTTCTATAAAGCTAATTTTTAATTTAGCAATTTTACATAGTATTGTTTTGCATTCTGACTATAATAAATGAGGGTTTAGCATGCATGGAACATATCACTATTTTCATTTTCCTGATGGAATGCGTTAATAACTTTAAGGCAGGTTACCAGGAGAAGCACTGTATAGTAAGAGGTAAGAGCTCAGGCTCCAAAGCCTGACAGGCTGAGTCAGGATCGCTAACTTACTACTTACTACTGAGTGATCTTGGCCAACTGATTTAACATCTCTGTGCTTACATGTCTTCAATAAACATTTGAAGACACAAATTAGTGTTTCTTTCAGCTGTGAAATCTATACTGTCCTCTCCAGACCTGCAGCAAAACTGTCATTGTGTGTTACTCTTCACTATGATTCCAGGTTGAATATAGTGCTTCTGGAATTTGATGTCTTCCTCTGGCTTGTTCTACTTTCTCATTTTTCAGGAGTGTGTTTTCAAATGACTTCCAAAAAAAGGTGTGTAAAGTTAAGCCCTCTGACTTCTTCTCTGTTTCAAAATGTCTTTTCCTCTGCCTTCAAATTTCATAGGTATTCTTGAGGAGTATACAATTCTAGTTGATACATAAGCATATTCATCTAACAATAAGAAGAAAAAAATAAAGAATTCTAGTTGAAAATCATTTTCCTTCATAATTTAAAGCAGTTAAACACTGTTTTCTAGCAAACTGTGTTGCTGTTAGAAATCTTTGGTGCTCATTTATTTGTAGGTTGGTGTTACTTTTTTCTCCATTTCTCTCTCTCAGAAAACATTTAAGAACTCTCTTTTCAGTATTAGTGTCCCGAATTTTATACTGTTTCATTTGCCAACTCCTCCTTATTGTAGTGAGTACAAGATGAATGTGTCTTTCTTAAATTTTGTGTCCTTCAACTCTGGGGAATTCTCTTGTAATGTTTTTCTGTACTTCATTCCCTCATCTGTTTGTCTTCATCTCTTTTTGGAGCCTCTATCAGTTAGATGTTGGTTCCCTGGTTTAGTCTATGTGTTACCTTTTTTATTTTACTTTTCCTCTATTTTATCCTCCAACTTTTTAGTTAGTGTTTTTATAGCATTCTCTTCTGTTAATTGATGTGATAGTTTCATAAATGTCTCTGAATATACAAATTTGAGTTTCTTTCAAGTTCCTTATGTATCCTGAATTAACTCTTGTTTTTCTGTGGAGTCATTTCTCTTTTTCTTAATTGTGTTTCATAGTTTCTTTCAAATGCCTATCAGTTGGTGATGCAAGCAAAACTGGCTGAACTCAGAGTACACCGGAGGTCGTGCAGACTACCCAGCTCCACTACAGGGTCAGTGGTAATGGAGCCTGGATGTGGCATCAGCTCCCACACCAGGATCAGGTTGTTCAGTTTCTTTACAGAGGAGCAATCCTTCCCCTGTAATAGGGTAGAGAAGTGGGGAGTTTCAGCCTGCATCTCACTCTTGCTCACCATCAAATCTAGAGTTTTTGAGTCCTCTAAATTTAGAATTTTGTACCCTTCCAGGGTTCTGCAGGAAAAGTCAGCACTTGCCAGCCAGAAGAATTAGCCAGCCACCCCCAACCTGCACATCTCCTTCCCTGTGCCTTGCCCTGCCCACCCCACCTCATTAGCTCTTGGTCCTCTTGCCACTGCTGCAATCCACACAGCATACCATCACTTAGCCTCCAAAGATCCTCTCCACATTCTCTTGATTTCCAGAGAGAAGGTTCAGATCCCCTGGGACAGGGCAGGGGGTGTTGGGTGACAACCAGGAATCCTTACTACCGACATTGGATGTGGGATAATAGAATACTTTTTTCAGCATTGAAAGACAAACTTTCAACCGAGAATTTTAACTCCAATTAAACTGTCTTTAAGTTTGGGGGCAAATTGATGATATCTTAGGCACATATAAAACCTCTTTCAATATTCTCTTAGAAGTACTCCAGGAAGAAGTGAAATAAATACAAGGGAATATTAAGAGGCTTATTTTTATTAAGAGTAAATGAATAAATACCATATAATTTTAAGTTCTTTCTAAAAAAGAATCAAAAGTGGAAGTTAGATTTACAGAAGTAGAAGAATCACTAACCATACAACAGATGCTCTCCAAAAAGACCAAAAAAAAAAAAAATGAAAGGGGAAAATACTTAAGGAAATAATTATTATTTCTTAGAATTAAAGAAAATGAGAGACTTCAATTGGAAAGACTTATGGAATGTTATACAACACAGATGGGGAGAATGGTCCACACCTAGACACATTATAGTGAATTTATAAAGTACCAACATTGGCAGAAGAAGAAATTGAAAGTTTGCATAGATCATCATTATAGAAATTAAAATAGTATTCAGTTGACAAGGCTAGTAAGTATAATCTTGCTTCCAAAACTGGATAAGAACAATACCCAAAAAATTATAGTGTCTACATACATAGATAATTATATATCTAATATATGCAAAAACTCCTGCAAATCAACATGAAAAAGACTGGAAACCCCAAAGAACAATGAGCAAAACATGGAATACACAAATTAGAGAATAGATAACAAGTAAGAGATGAGATATGTAACCCTCCTAGAAATCAGAAAAATACAAATTTAAAAACAATTATATAGTATTTTACACACACCCAGTATACAAAGATTAGAAAGCCGGGTAACAGCAAGTTCTGGAGAAGATTCCAGGAAACAGGCTCATTCATTCACTGCTGGAGTGCAGCCATTCTGGAGAGCAACCAGGCGGTATTTAGTGAAATACTCCTATGTGGCATATATAGGAGCAGCATAGGCCATGCCTATGCCTTATGGCCCAGTGATCCTGCAGACTGGTATATACCCAGAGAAGCTCTTGCCAAAGCCATAGGGGCACATGCATGGGGTTCTTGTTCTGTCATTAGAATACCACGAGTGAGTCAGGGGTACAGGTAGAGTGTGGAATAGGGAAGGGAGGTACAGAAGGGAAATGGAAGTGAAGATAAGGGATGAAAGAAAAAAGGCAAATGACCAAAATAAAACCAAAATGTGACCTTGCACAGCCTACTAACAACAGTGTGGCTGAGGAATGTGTTGAGCTTGGCTGTCTGTATCTGAGGGTCCACAAAGCAAAAATCACCACATGCAAGTATTGATTTACCACCTGATATCCTATCCTGGGTCAGGGAACTGGTGGTAGAAAAATAAATGAGAAGCTTCTGCCAGGCTTTGACTGAAGAGATGAGCCGGGGAATAGATGTGGTCCCCCAACAGGCTTCTTTCCTCACCTCTCCATTCATCTGGCCTAGTGGGAAAAAGAGAAGGCCTCGCCCTCTATAAATAAACCCCTCCCTCGCCCTCAGTAATCTCTCCAGGCTTAGTTCATCCCAAAGCTGCAAGCCCATTTTCCACCCAGACATCATTTCCTTCCACAGAGCCTTTGTGGAGCGGGTTCCTCAACCTGTGAGTCATCCCTGCCCATTTCACCCTGGAGTCAAACTGGATCAGGGTTGAGATTTGTCACCTGCACTCACTGGAGCATGGCCACAGCCATCTCTGAGCCTCTGACCCTTGTGTGCAGGAAGGGCTAAGGAACCAGGCGGAGGTCAAAGCCTGCATTTCCCAGGGAAAATAAATTACTTTAGCATCAATAACATCTGTCTCTCATAGGTAATCAAACTGAGCACCTGGATAAAGAAACCCCACCTCCCACGGTGCTGATAAGGACCGGAAATTGGCTTGTCAAAGTGACGCAGGAAAATGGAGCCGGCAGTGCAAAGGTGAACTCTAACAGCCGGTGAAGTTACAAGGAACAGATTTTAGTAGAAGCATTATTGGCCCCTTTTTCTCCGGCACATGCCGGCACCAGACATCCCTTTTAGGACCAAATCCTCTGTTTCCCCTAGATTCCTATTTCATGGATCCTGCCTCTTATCTGGTTCCCTGGCTCAGAGACACACCCTGAGCTATCTCCTGTGATCTACCTGGAGTGGGGACCCACATCCTGGACTTTTCAAGACTTCACCCAGATCATAAAGTGGCCCTAAGCCCTTTCCAGCTTGCTTGTTCTTAAGTACCAAATAGATAGTCAGTGTGTGGCACTCATTAAGCTTATGCTGTGGGCAGAGCAGTGCAGTGAGGCCTTATGGAGAAAAACAATAGAAATAGAAGTTTTGGTCCCTCAAGGTACGTAAGTGAGTGTCAATGGGCTGCCTGTTAAATGCAAGCCATTATCCTCCGCACTTTCCTTCATTTATCTTCACAGTGACTCCAGGAGTTACAGCCCCATTTTCTGATTTCCAGAGGAATAATCCAAACCTCTCCGAGATTGAGGAACCTGCCTCAAGTAATGGCTGGTAAGTGACATATCCAGGATTCCTGACTCCAAGGCCACAGCGCTTTTCACAACACTACAGTTGCATTAAAGAGAATCCATCCCACCTGCAAATACAGAGCACTGCGCCCTGAAATCAACTCAAAAGCGTTTTCAAAACCGCACATCAGTAAGAACAAACACGTAAGAATATAAACTCTGAGCCTGTGTGTTCTGGTCTCTTCTGTAGAAAGGAGGGGTTCCACAGTGAAAGATTCCTAAAGGAGGTAAATTTGAAACCTAGCTTGAAAGAACAGAGGCTACAGATAGGCAGAGAAGAGAAAATAAAGTTGGAATTAGCATCTTCTCTTAAGGTTACGTAGACATTCCTGCCATCTTGGAACAAATTTTCCACTCTGTCTACCAGAGTAAGAGGAATTATGCTTAAACGTGGCAGGGTGGATTCAGGTTAGCATAAAAGACATTTCGGGTGATGAGGTGGTTAAATACCGAACTATTTCATTAAAGGAAGTGGTGAAATGTAGATTTATTTTTTCCCCTCCGATGATTTTGGCTTACTCCTGGAGACAGGAGATGAACACAGCAACTCTGCAGACATCATCTGAAAATGGCAATTCTGGGGCTATAAGATAACTTTATTACGCTCACGTAAAAAGGGTTCAGGGCAACCTATATAATAACAAACCATTGCTCAACCCTAGACCCTCCCAAAGAGCCACTGCAAAGTGGTGTCTCACCTTTCCCATACCCTGACAAGCAGGAACCAGAAAGGGCCTGAGTCACCAGGTCACGTGACTGAAAGTGCAGCTGGGGCCTCTCTCTGCACTTGGCATGGCCGCATGAAACCAAATTGCCTGTGCCCTGCAAGCCGAGGAGCACCAAGCAGATACAGGTTATGTCAGGAAACCCGGGGCTGCCATCCAACTGCTGGAGCCGTCCCTGTTTGCAACAGAAGAAAAGGGTATTTGCAATTGCTCCTTCCCCACACTGTGGCTGCTGTTCAGGTGTTAGTTTTAGTTAGTAGATAGTTAGTTAGCTAGTTGGTTGGTTAGATAGTTAATTGGCTAGTTGGTTAGTTAGGTGGTTAGTTTGCTGGTTGTTAGTTAGCTAGTTTTGCAAATACTTTAAGGGCACGTTCCATCCCTAAGAAAATGATGCTTTTTCACCAACCTATTAATGATTTAACTGCCCCTTCAGGAAGGCAGGCCTTGAACCAGAAGTCCCCAAGAAGAAACCCTCCCCTTCCTACTCTAATGATTTCCATTTTCCTAAGAATCCTGGACTCAGAGACTATTCGAGTTAGTCCGACCTTGGGCATTTACTGCAGCCTCGTTGTTTTCCAGGAAAGGAAGCTCAAGCCTAAAGGGACGAAGTGACTTGCCCAGGGTCACACATCTGGTCAGTGCCCTTCACCTGGGGTGAACCTTCGCACATCCAAGGTGAAGATGAAGGAAGTCAGCTGTTTCCCTCTTGTGTTTCAAGCAATGAAGTTTGCTTAAGATTGGTGAATGTAGTTTCAGACATTTCTCCTTTCTCTTCATGCCCCACATACCAACACCACCAAACACATAACAATTGCCTGCTCTGCTTCTCTTTTCATGAGATTTTTAATCAATAGGCACCATCAGTTCCTTCTAGCAGAAATGGAAATAGCTTCCGGACCCACGGATGGAGGTGGCTACCTTTGGCAAGCTCAGGTGGGATGGCTAATACAGGTTTTTTTTGCCATTCTCATCTCCCAAATCCCAGAGCCCACCTTCTCACCTCCAAAGGGGATGAGTCAGATGCATACCATGTGAGATGGCTGAAAGAGCCCAGGTTTTCAAGTCAGCAGCCCTAGATACTATTAACGGCATGGCCTCTCTAGAGGTGCTTAGTGATTGGCATCTCTAAATTGGAGCTGAAAATGCCATGGTGCCATGAGAATGGAATGAGATCATATTTGGGGAAAGCCCTTTGGAAATGGTTATGAGAGGAAATGCCAGGGATTTTCATCACTGACTTCAGGCTGCCCTAGGCTTGACCATGCAGTCGAGTTCACAGCCCAAAGGAAGGGTGTCTGCAGCTGGGCTGGGCCAGAGGTGGGGCTAAAAGATTGGAAATGTGGGCTCCTCCACCTGTGTACACAAGAAAGCGCCTCTTCCAACAGCCCTCAGAGAGAGGGGCACGGCCAGGGCCAGCTGTAGCCCAATCCCAGAATGCAGCCGCCGTGTGTCAGCCCTGAACCTACCTTTTTTTCTCTCTTCTTTTTTTTTTTTTTTTTTGGTTCTCATAAGTCTGGAGCATTTGAAAGGGGCTGTGTCACTACTGGCCTGGCAGACAGGCAGCTTGCTCCAGGGCAACAATTCATGCTTTTCCCCAGTGTGAGCTTGTGCAAGTGGAGAATGCTGAGGATGTGAAGCCTATTCCCTATTACTCCACTTCCTTTGCGCACTCAGTTTCCCCTCCCCCCTCAATTTCTTCCGCAGTCTTGATGAGAAGTGATAGTCTCAGAGAGAGAGCAAGCTCTTTTACTCAAGTGAGCCACACCACCTATTTCATCGCTTCTGGAAAACTCCTCCCTCAATAAGCACGGCTGGCCCTGTACACTCCCCTTTTCCCATCCAACTGCACCGTCAATTTCTCCTGTCCACAGACTTCCCCTCTGTTTATAAGCATATACAGGCTTCTAATAACTCGAGAAATTTCCTTGATGTCTCCTCCACTATTCACTCTACTTACAATCCTATTTGTATTTGCTTGCCATTGCCACACTTCTTCAATCAGTGATGTGTACAAGCAGTCTCTTCTTTTCCGAAAATCAGTATTTTGTCCCACTTCGTGCTCTATAGAAACTCTACTCCCAGAGGTCACCGAGGAATTGTCTAAAGGTCAATGCCTAATTTTTGGTCTTCGTTCTTCCTCTGCAATGTTGATGTTCCACTCAGTGGGATTCGCTTCTCCCAGGCTTCTGTGGCAGTGCTCAACCCTCATGTCATCCCTGTCTGCTGCTCTGTCCACTTAATCAACTCCTCTTCTCTTCACTGCCTCCTTCAATAGACATGTGTCAATATGCAGTTCCCAGGGCCTCTGCTATTCTGTTTATTCTCTTTCTCTTGTTAATTCCACTTTCTTAAGCGGACGGCTTTTCATTTTGAAAGCGTGTCCCAAATCTGTATCTCCGTGTATGACTACTCTGACCTGCAAATGCCTATTGGATATGTTCCTCAGGGTCTTCGTAGTGATTTGATATATCTAAAATTAAATTCATCATCTTTCTGGATTCCCTGTTTCTGTTAATAATACTTCTCTCTCAATTAATCATTTGGAAGCTAAGCTTGAAAACCATTCCTAATTCCTTCACCTGTTTCATCGCCACGTTCAGTCAATCACCAAGTAAGTCAGCTCTTCTTTCTAACAGGTAAAAAGGAGAGTTCTAAAGCAATCTCCTTTTCTCCTTATTCATTTTATTTCTACTGACTTCACCCTCCATAGTTCAGATAAATTGTTCTTTTATTCATTCATGTAACAACTATGCATATGTATCGAGTGTCTACTCTGAGCCAGGCTTTGTGCTAGGAATTAGGTAAGCAAAAACAGACTCAGACTTTCCCTATTCCAGCAACATAATTTATAACCTGGGAGAAGAGACAAGCATTGCTTAGGAAAACTCTAATGAAAATAGAGCTATAAATTGAAATTAGCACTCCTGAAAGAGAAGAACACAATTAAGGATTGAGACATCAAGTATGAGTAGAAATCGACTAGACAAATAGAGGTGTCCTGCTCAGAGGAGGAAGAAAGTTACTTACTGATGGAACAATTTATTCAAAGACTATTTGGTTAAAAGGAATATAGGAGGTTCAGGAAACAGAGAGGCCAATAAGGTTGGAGTTGAGAGGGCAAGGGGTAAGATGAGACTGGAGAAGAAAGAAAGGGACAGACCATGTCAGGTCTGGTCAACCAAGGTAAGGTATTTGGTCGGACTCCATCCTAAGATCAATGAGGAGCAAATGAAGGGTTGTTACTATTGCTCACTTTGACAGTAGCCACGGCCTCCTGCTGAGATTCTGACTTTCCTTACTCCAGTCTGTGTTGCATGTCATCACAAGGGTTTTCATGGGATAATCTGCTAATCCATCTCCCTAGGTTTACTTCCCAACATCATTTTACACAATGTATACATCTAGCTAACTGGTCTACCCATTGGTCCCTGGGCTATCTTGTGCTTTCCTGACCCTGAGACTTTGCTCGCCTCCCATAGCCTCCTCTGCTTTAACTGCTGTCTACAGCTCCCCTCTATCTCATGCCTGCCCCCTTGTTGAATCATTTAAATCCAATATTTTCTGGAAATCATAAACCTAACTTAAATGTGGCTCTCCATGCTTTCAACAACCATGATACTTATATTGCAAGAGCCTGGTCTTTAGGGCCACAGAGTCTTGGTTTGAGTGCTGATTTTGAGCAAATCACTTATTTCTGGAAGCCTCAGCTATCTAATATATAAAATGGATAAAATTATTGTACTTATCCTATAAAGTTGTTGGGAGAATTAAATCAGAATACATTTCTGGAGCATCTAAAAGAATATCTGGCACATAGCAAACACTGAATGCATGTTACTCACAGGACCCCCTTCTTATTCTCTTACTTTTCAAAAGAAATGGTAGGCTTTCTGAAGAAAGGGACTGTGTGTTATTTATCTTTATTTCTACACCTGACATAATAGATATTCATCCCATAACATCGAAGGATTGAAGATGTTGTATGAATGCTGAAAAATGTTAGAGAATTGTTTAATGAAGTGGAATGCAATATTAGAAAATCTTTTCATTAACACACCACATTGGCAGATTAAAGGGGGAAATCTGATCATCTCATAGATAGAAAATAGCCAAAATTTAACTATGTCATGAAAAACATCTTATCAACAGTAAAACATTTATGCTTATCCAATGAAGAAAAAAGAAAAAAAAAAACAGTCAATCTCAAAAGTGTATTCACTAAAATACTATAGGTAACATATTTGATAGTAAAATCTTAAAAGAAATTGCATTAAAGTCAGGAGTAAGACAATAATACTTACATCAACATTTCCATTCAGTCCTAGAGTCCTAACCAGTGAAATAAGACAAGGATTAGAAAAAGAAACGCACAAAGTTAAAAAAAAGAATTTATAAAACTGCAGAGGATAGGAGTATCTATAGAAAATCTACATTAAAAATGAATATCGGCCAGGCACAGTGGCTCATGCTTGTAATCCCAACAATCTGTGAAGCAAAGGCAGACAGCTCACTTGAGGTCAGGAGTTCAAGACCAGCTGGCAGCATGGCGAAACCCCGTCTCCACTAAAAATACAAAAATTAGCCACGTGTGGTGGCGGACGCCTGTACTCCAAGCTACTCTGGAGGCTAAGGCACGAGACTCACTTGAACCTGAGAGGTGGAGGTTGCAGTGAGCCGAGACCAGTGTGCTCTAGTCTGGCTGACAGAACAAGACTCTGTTTCAAAAAAAAAAAAAAGTATCAGTAAAATTAATGAAAGCTTTCAGCAATGTTATTAGAAACAAAATCAACGGGTGAAAATCAACAGTATATATCTGTATCCATATCCATATCCATAGTGCTGAATAATGAAATATTATTCAGTCTTAGAAAGGAGGTACCAGTACGGCTACAACATGAAAAGTACCTTAAAAGATTGTGCTAAATGAAAGAAGCCAGTCACAAAAGACTACATCATATATTTTATTCATATGAAGGCCCAGAAGAGAGAGACATACAAAGATAGAAAGGAGATCAGTGGGCCGGGCGCAGTGGCTCACGCCTGTAGTCCCAGCACTTGGGGAGGCTGAGGCAGGTGGATCACGAGGTCAGGAGTTCGAGACCAGCCTAGCCAACACAGTGAAACCCCATCTCTACTAAAAATACAAAAATTAGCTGGGTATGGTGGCAGGCACTTGTAATCCCAGCTACTTGGGAGCCTGAGGCAAGGACAATCGCTTAAATCTGGGAGGCAGAGGGTGCAGTGAGCCAAGATCGCACCACTGCACTCCAGCCTGGGTGACAGAGCAAGACTTCATCTTAAAAAAAAGAAAGTAGATCAGTGGTTGCCTAGGACTGGAGGAGGTAGGGAGGGACAGGAGAAGGCAGGTAAATGAAGGATACTAGGCTTCTTGCTGTGATGAAAATGTTCTAAACTTGATCATAGGGATGGTTGCACAAATTTTTGAATATGCTAAGCTAATAACCATCGAATTGTACATTTTAAATGGGTGAATTGTATGCTGCGTGAACAATAAGGCTATTAAAACTCAATAGATGCCTATAAATAAGTGATACACTATTAGAAAACTTAGTGGGAAAAAAATTCCATTCACAAAATCAAC